TGTAACTTCATCAAATGGACTCAACTCAATATAACACAAGCTGTAAAAAGGATAACACTACCAAACATAAAAAAATGTCAGAAGCCACCAACAGGCCATTACAACCACATGGAATCAGTATAGCACACAAACCCACTAAAACCCTCCAAAACATTCTAAGTTAACCAAAAGACCCCATAGCCCCAGAAGAAAAAACAAGAGTCATCTACAATGTAGAGTGTAAACACTGCAACAGTCACTACATAGAACAAACAGGCGGAAGACCAGTAGAAGCATCCATAAACACTAATTAGCAGTCAAAAACATGATGAAAACTCTTTAATTTCACAACATAACAGACTTAGCTATAGTTTCAACTGGGAAACTGTGAGTATCTTAGATCAAGCCAAACCCAAAACGGCTAGAGAATTCCAGGAAGCCTGGCACTCTGAAACATTAGTCATCAATAGGCACACATAGATATAAATATCTACATACTATGCAAAAGAGACAATCAACAAGCCAAAAAGGAAACAAAAGACCAAAGCATCTCCCACCAGTAATCAGCACCCAGAGAGCATAGATTAACACCAAGACTAACATCAGATCAACAATCAAGAAGTAAACAATACCCAAATCAAGGGATTGCCAAACAAACAAAAGGCCCAACCAAAAAGAGCAAACATCCCAACACTCAAGAGAGCAAACAACTAAAATATAAACTGACAAGCAAACTGCGCTCCTTACTGATTATGTTACCTAGTTTGGATAATGAAAGGTCTGCAAGGACCCTCCTCATTTTAACCCTGAGCTACAAATATTCTCCTTTATTGGAACATCTGCCCACCAACAGAACATGACTCTGCAAGCATATCATGCAGTGGATTCTAATCACTCTCTCTCAGCACAACCTACCTCACAGGATTGTTGGGGGTGGAAGAAATGGGAGGAGCAACAATCATGCACACTTCGTTAAAACTCTGGGGAGGAAAAGGTGGGTTATAAATCAAAGAGATTATATATCCATAGAAGATGATTGGCAGTCTTCCCAATCTACTACCCTTTTACATGTTTTACCGCAGAGTTTTTAATGCTGTTCAAAAGACAATACAGATTGTGAACTGTTGATTTATGTCACATCAGATGGATCAATCCCTTAAAACGGTTGTTTCAATCTCTCACCTTCCGTAACATGGCAATAACAAGATACCGTAAAGCTTAAAAAGGTTCTATTATAATCCACTAAGCCTACGGAAAATTACCGCAGATTCTGGTCCGCCCGCGTGAACACTGAAACCCCAAATCTGCAATTCAAGGAAAACGTTAATGCTTCTCATAGGACTGTGTTAAATTTATGTTCATTTATATTTATATATTCACATTTAAGCAGCAGCAATATGCTCGGTCCCTTAATTGGGGTAGACCAGGTTGCCCTGATAAAAAAAAACACCTTCTCATGGGGCTGTTTTAAACCTTAATTCATTAATAAATGTTGAATTATTTATTCTGAACAACGTATCGGGCGACACCACATAAAAGACATGCTTTTTATTATTAAAGACAGAGAAATATTAAAGTATTAATCCATGAGATTTAAGAGTGCCTGCAAGGCACGCTTTTCGCCGCTGCAACCTCCATATAAGGATTTTTACCTGGTCAGTCGCTCCCTCAATTCCTCACCGACAAGAGGAATCAAGTGAAAAAAGGCGGAAGTCACCCCAATTTGAGTCGCACACTATTTCCGGTCACATGGTTAAATGTGACCAAGCATAAGCCGGAAGAGACCCCCCCTCCCCCAGTTTCGATTACTTCGAAAGAGAAACAAAACGGTGGGGCGGAGTCAAACATTCTAAAATGGGCTGCCTTGGGGGGGCGGGGCATGGAAGACAGAAGGGCATTTCTACTGGCTAAGGCGATGGGAAGAGGGAGTCACGCCCATTGGCCGAGAGTAAATCGATTTGATTGGTTAAAAAGAGGAATGAGCTATTGCAGAGCGCGAAGCAGCGTGCTCGGTTCTGCAGAAAGGGAGGGGGGGAAGGATGTAAATAAAGAGGTGTAAATAAGGTGTGTGTGTGTGGGGGGGCTGGTGATTAAGAGCAAGATTTCTCGAATGCAAGAGCACCGATTGATTGATGGACAGCAATGGCTTGCTATTGGCTCAAAGCAGAACAACACTAACCGAAGAAAAGAAAAATAAACGCAAGAGGGACCATTGGCTGCTCCTGTCTGGAACTTTTCCCGGAAAGGTTGAATTCTGGGACCATTTGCCTGCAAGCGCAGTGGGCGCGTGGTTTGAATTTATTTATTTATTTTTTGCTTATAGGCCGTGTTTTAAGATCGCTTCATTCCACTTTTGAGTTAGCAAACAGTAAATCACCTCGAAGGACGCCGGTTGTTGCTTCTATGATTGTGGCTTGTCCCCTTTTGTAACCGACCCCAAGTTTTTCGTCCGTGTCCAATCTCAGCAGATGGCAGCACTTGATTCACCTGCTCTGGGCTCGTTAGTATTTGGATGAAAGTCCCATGAAAGTGCTTTTTTTTTTTCTTTCAAGAGGCAATTGGACTTTCTGGTTTTTCTTTGAAGACGTTTCCCTTCTCATCCAAGAAGCTTAGAAACTTCTTGGATGAGAAGCCAAACGTCTTCAAAGAAAACCAGAAAGTCCAATTGCCTCTTGAAAGAAAAGCACCTTTGGGATAATCATGACCTGGATGACTGAGAATCTCCATAGACATTTGAATGAAAGATCTCAGAAGAAGAATCCCAGAGCCATAGGTTAGCCCAGGGGTCAGCAACCTGCGGCTCTGGAGCCACATGTGGCTTGTTCACCTCTTTGCTGCGGCTCCCTGTCACTCAAAATATGTGTCACAACAGCCAATGTGCGACACCTGCCAGCACACGATTTATTGAGCTTTTCAACTCCCGGTAGACCAACCATGGATAAATCCAAGAAAAGAAATGTTTCTGAAGAAAACAGAACATTTAATTCAACTACATATGCTTGTTTTGTGGCCACTCAAGAAATAGTCAGGCACAGGAAGCGTTTTGTGGCTCCTGGTGTTTGTTTTTTTTTTTCTGTGGAAAACTGGTCCAAATGGCTCTTTGAGTGTTTAAGGTTGCAGACCCCTGGGTTAGTCATAGAAAATGAGAAGAAATCCTGGAAACAGTGGCAAGCCATTGCTGTAGCGATGCCCAGAAAACTGGATCGGAGTGGAGCCCTTAACTTCGTTAAGGTTTTTCAATGCCTTCCATTCTTAAAAGAGAGAGAGGAAAGATCTTTGCTTTATTTCTGTCAAGAGTTTTAAAGAATGATATGGCGACCTCTCTGTTGTTTCTCAAATTTAGCCTCTTCACTCTCTCAGATCTTATGGAGATCTTAAGAATTCTGTTTCACCTGTTCATCTTTGTTGCCATTCTCTGAACCTGTTCCAAAATCTTCCAGTTAAAATATGTTCCCAGAACTAGATTCATTATGCAAGATGAATATTATTGTTCTCCCATCTTTTTTATACAGTATATAACTCAAGGCAGCAGACACCGAATCCTCTTGTCCATATTTTCCTTAATAACAGCCCAGTAGGCAGGTTTGAGAAGGACTGGCCAAAGGATCCCTGGAATAACAGTATTCTAGTTTTTAAGTCAGCATCTTAGCTACTACATCAATACTAATATGCCCAACAGAGAGGAGTGATTACAGTAGAGCCAGTGATATGCAAATTTGATTGTTTTTGTAGTTGCATCATACTGGTGGCTCACCGGTGTATATTTGATGTTTGTACATGGTGCAGTTTCTAATGATTCCAAGTACAAAATTATAACCAAAGGAAACCATTTTCATAAACACTTTCATTGGAATTATGTTCCTTATTCATTGCCAGCTCTGATCCCAAGAATTTCTGTGTGCAGGGTTTTTTAAAAATTGAATTTGATTATATAGAATTGTTTTTGATATTTTGGTGTCCAGATTGATATAGTGGGTATAGTGGTATAAGGGATCAGGATAGAAACTTAAAGAGACCATGAATTCTCATCCTGCCTTAGGCATGAAGGTGCCTGGTGACTTTGGGCCAGTCACTCTCCTGTCTAGGAGGCAGATAATGAGAAACCAATTCTGAAATTGTGCCAAGAAAACTACAGGGACTTGTCCAAGGTGAGTCATCATGTGTCAACACCAGTTTGAAGGCACCCTTTTCTCCCTCCAAAAATACCAAGTTTGGGAAGAACCTCTTCAAGGTCTTTGACATTGTTTTGACTTTACTATCTTGAACAGTATGGATTCATTAACAAATTTGCCTACTTCGGTACTCATTCATATTTTCATACTTTGACTTTCCAATTTGAAAATTGTCAGTTTATTCCTATTCTGTTTTCTGCTCTTTGATCAGTTAACAATAAAAATGCATCTCTTCCTGTTCCATGATTGCTGAGTTTCTTTGCACCTTTTGTGAATGACCATTTATATATTTGATTTTTATATCAAGTTTTGGAATTCCCAGTATTTGTTCTATTTAATGTGGTAACATGTGTCAATCATTCTTTAGATGCTGACAGTTTGCAGTTATATTTAATAGCTGTGAACTGAACTGCAGTTTTGTTAATTTAAATGTTTTTCTCTTTATTCAGTCTCTCTCTGGTTTAAACAATAAAGCATTATTAAATGTGTATCAAATATACCATCAGGAAAGTTTTAAAGCTGTATATTATTTCTGTGGAATAGAGGCAATAATATTCACCATTTGTCAAAAACCTTTTGGTTATGTCTGTTAGTTTTCCTTAAGAAAGAGGCTCTTTATGTGTAGAGCCATCAGCAATAGGGTTTCTGTCCTTCATTTCTGCTGGAGGTGTTACTGGAAAATAAACATATACAACTGCTTCCTACCTCCCAAAGTTATTTTTGATTTGTTTGCTTTTAGTTTTACCTCTACCATGGTTAAGCAAATATTTTCCCTCAAGTACTGTGCTGCTTCATTATGGAGGGAGAAGAGCTGTTGTTTTTGAGTGGGATAATGAAGAATTCTGGGAATTAACAACAAGAGGGATGATGTTTATTCCAGCAGTCCAGTTAAATCACACAGGCAACTATATTGAGCAACAATCATATAAGAAGATACTAGAAGTAACTGATCAACGACAATGATAGGCATCATTTCATACTGCAGGGAGGAGGCAATAATAAACCATTCAATCATGCTTTTATCTCATCTTCAGGTGCTGGGTTCTTTTTACAGATGGCTGTTGACCACTGCTCCTATTACAGTGCACTCAACAGGAACAGTGTGAAGAGAAATCTTCATGATGATGTTGCTGTTGATATTATGATGATCTCATTGCTGTCCCCTCATAAAAGTGAGGTCTAGCATTTCAGAGGAATGTGCACTGCTGTTACTGCAATGTGTGTAATGCAAGCAATGATAGAGAATGATTTTCATGGTAGTCTTACTTTCAGTATTCATCTTGCCGTTGCTCTTCCTCCAGGCCTATTTTTTAAAAAGATCTTTTATTTTAAAAAGAGAAGGTTAGTGCTTTCTGTAGAACTCTCTCACAAATGGTGAACGTGACTTTTAAAGAGGTCTAGCATCAATCATTTTTGAAGAATAGCAAATAGAAGTTAATACAGGTAGTTCTTGACTTACGGTTCATTTAGTGACTGTTCAAAGTTACAATGGCCCTAAAAAGTGACTTATGTCCATTTTTCACACAACCTTTGCAGCATTTCCATGGTCATGTGATTTACATTCAGATGCTTAACAACTGGTTCATATTTATAATGACTCCAGTATCCCAGGGTCGTGTGATTGTCTTTTGTGAATGTCTGAAAGCAAAGCCAATGGGGGAGCCAGATTCACTTTACAACTGTGTATTAATTTAACAACTGCAGTGATTCACTTAACATATGTGGCAAGAAAAGTCTTAAAATAGGGCAAAACTCACTTAACAAATTTCTCACCGAGCAACATAAATTCTGGGGTCAATCATGGTCGTAAATCAAGGATTACCTGTAAGGCCTCTGATTAAACTCCAACCTAGAAACATGTGGGCAATGACATGTAGGAGCCACGTATCTTCCTAGCCCAGCAACACAAAATGGCCTTAGAGGATAATGCTCAACAACTGGAGTGGGGGAAGGAGCATATATAATGCAACTGAACATGGTCAGTAGAAATTGGATCGATCTTGGGCTCTAATAGTGTAATCATCATGGTGTTGATGAAATTCCAACATCTGGATAACATTCTATCCTCAAAATCTTGCCATTGTATCCTATCGCACAACAGACTACTTGAGGATGAGCCACAATGAGGTGCACAGCTCTCCTGGATAGAAAGGGCTTGGTTAAGAAAAACGGCTGAAGCAGTGAGAATGCCTGAAAACAGCCATTGTATTGTATCCTCAAATGGGGAGGGTGCCAAGAGCCAGCTGGTTTTACTTATTTCCTTGTAGAAGGCCAATTGGCTGGTTGTAAGTTGTTTTCTGGCAACAAGAATGTTTCTTGCTGTAGACATGGTCCCATCTGGGACCTGGCTTTAAGACGACAGTTCTGTAGTTACACAAAGATACCTCTCTGAAGAGATCAGATTTTTCCTGTGAACTGAGGGGAGAGTCAAGGAGTGACGAGGATGATTAGATAGAGAATTCCCAAATTTTGTATAAGCCCACAGTCCTACAAAACCAGTAACTTGAGTGGAAGGAAACAAGGATGTTAGTTTAAAGAAATGTGAATAAATGTTTCATAGCTTAGTTGGTGTGGTACAAATCAAATAAGCAATTGGTTTGGTTAAATACAGTGCAATGTTTTGCTTCAAGAATTCTGAAAATATGAATTTTCATCTATGACTTTTTCTGTTTTAGGAAATCATTTGTACACATTTAATAGACTGAAAACAGTCACCTACTCATAATTTTGATCCATTCATGCAAGAAAAGCTATGAAACCTAATTTTCAAACACACTAGACATGATTGAGGGAAATAAAGAGTTGGAAATATATAAGATTAGAAATATATATCACAAAACATATAGTTAGAAAAGGGTGGAAGCAACCTACATTTATTTAAATTATTTATTAGGCTTTTATGTGCTTCAATCCAGACACTGAAGGGTAGCAAATTCTTAAAGTTAATTTAGTTTAAAAATAATAAAATAATACTTAATAATCAAACCACCACAAAATCAATTGTATATAAGTATCACAATTATAACTTTTCCCATCTATCTTTCAGGTGCTTCCTTCTCAATCTTAGAATAATACTCTCATACCCCAAACCCTCTGGAAGAGCCAGAATTTAGTAGCTCCCTAAAATTCTAACAGACAGTGGACCTTTCCCTCTTTCTAGAGCTAAGTTTTCCAGAGAAGAGGGACTGCAATGACGATGTGAAGTGACAAGCACACGAGTGACACAAGTGGAGCATAAGTTGAACCTGACCATTACTTTCATCTTCATTTCCAGCAGGAGTTCAGAAATACTTTCAGGTTATTTGCCTATTCCTTATAGGTGTGCAAAGTCCCATTTTGAGTCAAAGATGGGCTTACTCTAAAACCTGAAGGCTACCAATCTTCAATTCTCAAATTCTCAGTTCAGCAGTATACCATAGTTGATGGTATCAAGATTCATGGAGGTTAGCCAAGGAAAGTGGCACTACTGTTTACAGTCCCACAAAGGCGATCCACAACAATCTTCACCCCAGCCTGAATCCTAATTAAAAGCATCCAAATAATCTGTTTCATCCATAGCTCTCTGTAACTACTGGTTCATCACCTTCACAATCATCTTTCCAAGAAAGAGAAAATTGGAGGCAGCATGTTAATTACCCCATAAAGCTGAGTCTATGGAGATTCTTAGTCATGGTTGCCCCAAAAGGTGCTTTTTTTCAAGAGGCAACTGGACTTTCTTGTTTTTCTTTTAAGATGTTTCACTTCTCATCCAAGAAGCTTCTTCAGCTCTGACTGAATGTTGGGGAATAAAAGGATTTATATTCCTTGCAGACAGCTGGCCATTTGCACTCTTTTAGAGAGTCATTGAGACCATTGGGAGATTTATTTGTGTTCTCAGGGTCACCTGAGTAGTGCAAATAGGTGTGGAGCCAACATAGTCCTTTCAGCAGTCCTAAGAAACTACAACACAGACCTTTCAACAGTTCCAAGAAAGCTCCACATCCATTTGCAAAGAAAAATAAGAAAGGTCTAGTTGCCTCTTGAAAAAAAAAACCTTTGAAATAAAAGGATTGCTTCTTAAGGATGGGTGCACTCGGGTGGGTTCTATTTTTTTTTTACTATCGGTTCTGTGGGCATGGCTTATTTTGTGGGCGTGGCTTGGAGGTCATGTGACTGGGTTGGCGTGGCTAGCTGGTCATGTTACCGGGTGGCCATGGCTATGTGTAAAGGGACTACTCAGAGGGCTGAAAAAAGTCATTTCTGACAGGTCCTCGCACTTTTGACTGGTCCTCACACTTATGAACATCCTCACATTTATGCCCATGCAGCATTCTTAACAACCATGTCACTCATTTCACAACTGCTTCTCTTCACCATGGTGACAAGGTAGGGCGAAAAACGTAAAATGTGAGGACAGTCGTGAGTTTGAGGACTGGTCAAAAGTGCGAGGACCAGTCAAAAATAACTTTTTCAGCCCTCTGAGTAGTCCAGATGCACAAAAGGATTCAATTATTTCTTCAAAGTGCTGATGATTGCACCCTGGCTGGAAGAATTCCAACAAGGAAGTATTTCTTCCCAACAGTGGTGTAAAAAGCTTAAAACAACCCTTCCCCTTTAAGAAAGTCAAGCAAAAAAATAGCCTTTGGAACCAGAAGTGACAGTAAGTCTAGGCATACTGCTGCAGAAGCAGTTTCTGTAATAAAGATTAGGCTAGGAAACAACACCAAATGTTGTAATTAATCCTTACAGGATTAACCCAGTAAAGTGGAAAAAAACAAAAGGGGATTTTCTCCGAACTGCTTAACTACTTAACTACTTAACAACTTAACAACCGGTTCTACCGAAGTAGAATCCCACCACTGGGTCTGCCCATTTATTTTTGCAGGCACCGGTCTACTCATTTGATACTGATATACTGATCAGTTATAGGGCGGCCCTTTGAAGCCTGGCGGCAAGAGTTTAAACAGTTTTGTCCTTCTAGCCATCAGCTGGGACTCAGGAGGCAGCAATAGATTGGGGGTGGGGCCAAATAAAAAGTAAGAATAATCCGGGGGGGTGGGAGGGGGGGCAGGGGGCGCAGAACCAGTTCGATGACATCATATCGTCACCGCTACTGGCTCAGCCGAACCGGGTAAACCAGGAGGAACCCATCACTGGGTGCACTGTTGCTTCCTTCAAGGCAAGTAATATCTTCCTCTCTCCCAAAGAAATATTCACCAAAGCTCTAACTTAGCCTACCATCACCTTTCTGACTGCTTTCATGAGGGAGATGCACAAAGGTCAGTGCTAGTATTACAGAGAACCTGTTCCACTTCCCTGAGATCTATAGACATATCTCATAGCTTCATTAACATTTCTGATTTGATGTCCCATATAGATATTGACTGCAGGAAATTATACAGCACATTTGGAGGGCACTGAACTGTATCTTACCAATAACAAAGCTAGCAGAGTTGATGGCATTCCAGCAGAGCTATTTAAAAATCTAAAAAACAATGCTGTTAAAGTGCAGTACTCAATATGTCAGTAAATTTTGAAAACTCATCAATGGCCACAAAATTGGAAAAGGTCAATTTACATTCCAATCCCAAAGAAGGGCAATGCCAAAGAATGTTCAATTGCACTGTTCAATTGCACTCATTTCCCACACTAGCAAGGTTATGCTCAAAATCTTACAAGCTAGGCTTCAGCAATATGTGAACCGAGAACTATCAGAAGTACAAGTTGGGTTTCGAAAAGGCTGAGGAACTAGAGATCAAATTGCCAATATTCACTGGATTATGGAGAAAGCAACAAACAAGATCACAACAAACAAGAAGCAACAGTTAGAATCAGACATGGAACAACTAATTGGTTCCAAAATGGACAAAAGGGTACAACAAGGCTGTATATTATCACCATTTAACTTATATGCAAAGTACCTCATGCAAAATACTGGGCTTGATGAATCAGAAGCATGCTGGGGAAAATACCAACAACCTCAGCTATACTACTTTAATGGCAGAAAGTGAAGAAGAACTAAAGAGCCTCTTGGTGAATTTGAAAGAGGAGAATGCAAAAGTTGGCTTGAAACGTAACATTACAAAAAACTAAGATTATGGCAACATGTCCCCTCACTTCCTGGCAAATAGAAGGAGTGATAGGTTTTATTTTCTTGGGTTTCAAAATCACTTCAGAGAGCAACTGCAACCATGAAATTAAAAGATGCTTACTCCTTGAGAAGAATGTTATGGCAAACCTAGATAGCATATTAAAAAGCAGAGACATCACCTTGCTAACAAAGGTCTGTATAGTCAAATTATGGTTTTCCAAGTTGCAATGTATGGCTGTGAGATTTGTAGCATAAGGAAGGCTGAGCACTGAAGAATTGATGCTTTCAAAGTGTGGTATGGGGGAAGACTCTTGAGAATCCCTTAGATCCCAAGGAGATCAAATCAGTCAATCCTAAAAGAAACCAGTCCTGACTATTGTGTGAAAGGACAGATACTGAAGCTGAAGTGCAAATACTTTGGCCAGCTAATGAGAATCGAGGACTCATTGAAAGGACTATTGGGAAAAATGGAAAGCAAAAGGAGAAGGGGATAGCAGAGGATGAGATAGTTAGATAGTGTCACTGACACAGTAGGCATGAGTTTGAATAGGCTCAGGGAGATAGTGGAGGATGGGGTTCTTGCATACTGGGGTCCATGTGGTCACAAAGAGTTGGACATGACTTAGCGACTGATCAACAACAGCAACAACAACAAAAGAAATAGATCTTAAACTATTCAAAAATGTCCTACAAAGAGGAGAGGTAGACTGTAATAGCTATACTAACTGCAGATTAAAGTCATGAAGATTGAAGCAGTATAGAAGTTGAAGTAATACATAAATGAACATATAAGTAAGCAAACATTTGCTGATTTCTTGATTTCTTCAAAACGCAGTCTTGAATATTTGATTACTGGTTTGCTTGGGTTGTTTTTGGACGTCAAAACTAAGGTTTTCCTAGAGATAAACATTGGAGGAATCATAACGGATCCATCCTTTCCACCCTCCCAAATTTGTCCTAATTTTTTAACATTCCTACTGCCAATGAACTTTGGTTTATGTATATAGTGATTGTCTGCAGAAAGTCAACTCCGCAAAACTGTGAAACTTTTCCTTCTGAAGATCCTGGCTAATGCACTAAGGAAGAACTGGTTTAAACTTTTGTTGTTGGTGCTTCCCTCCATAAAATACTCTTTAAATACGGTATTTATTTACAAAGCTTTAATAGAGCAGAGAAACATGGAATGGCATTGCCCAATACACAGGGAGAAAGGTGTGGGAGAAAGGAAAGAAGGAAGGAAGAAGGAAGATTCAACTATTCATGATTCGTGATTGGATCTTGAATTATGGCTTTCTGAGCATTGAATAGAACAATGGATGTGGGAGATAGAGTAAAAGATCTTTGTTTAGCTAATTCAGCTGAACCCAGCTAAAAATTCTAGTTGCTGAAATCACATTTTGTTTTTAGAAATCAAATGGCAATATCTTCAGAGAAGAAGTGCTGCCAGACAAGGAATTTATTGTGCAATCAACCTCTTTGATGAAATTTTACATGGTTTACATAGGACATTGCTTCCAGTTACTGCATAAATATCTCTTCTGTTTCTCCCTCCCACCAACACACAATAGTTTCCATTTTTTAATAATGAAAAATAACATAGTTATATAATACTTTTTTATTACTAGAACAAGGCTCTATTTGTCTGGAAGCACTTCAACAATCTGATTTCCTTAGATAATTATTAATATTGCAAACCATGGTCATATAATTATCAGGTCTGGATGGGTAAGCAGAAACATTAAAAAAAAAAAAACCCAAGAATGATCATGCTAGATCCAACCAAATGAGCATCTAGTTAAGGGTTGAAGGTCAAACAATGAGTGTGGAGATGGCCTCCTTCCTCCCCTTGCAGTGAAATCTACTGGCAAGGCACAATAAAAATAGCCATCCTGCCACATGTCCAGAACAACAAGCCATCAGAGATACTGTATCTTGCCTTTGAACATGAAGGTTTATTTCTAGGCAGCTTTATATTCACCTTCCTTCCCTTCACCCCTTCTATTGAATAATTCACTGAACATAACCAAACACTGCCAAATAAGATACAAATTCAGAACAGAAAAGAGAATAAGAGGGAAAATAGTTGTTAAAGGAAGTAATCCAATTGGTCTTGTGAAAAATGAGAGATTGCCATCAACAGGATATCTCCCAAAACTATCCTTCACTTCCAATGCTAGGTTGTGGTGTGGATTGGGGGTGGAGAAGAACGGTTTTCCAGTTTAACAGCACAGGGAGGTCTCTCTTTCCAGTCAGACTGACTCTGTTCCATGTCATGATCTATGAAGGAAAGGGAAGAAAGATCAGGGACAGGCAAAATCTGCTTTAAAATGATTATTTCAAATCAATGTAAAGGTGGTTTGTGAATTTTGGGAATCAAGTTTTGTGAAAGTGTGAAAATGTTCTTTTTTAAAAAAAAAAAAAATCCAGGATGTTTATTTGAGAATCACAGCATAAAAATAAATTGGAAAGGTGAAGAAGCTAGTTCATAGAATCCAGACTGAGAGGGATGAATCATTATCATACATAATTCCAACCAAGATCAGATTTCTCTTTTTTTTTCCAAATTCCCACCCAGACTAATATAAGTTGTATTTCCTAGATTACCTTATGACAAAAAGAGGTTGCATTAATAAAGAGAAAAAATTTGAAAAAGAAAGAGTTCCAGACAGCCAAATAATTAAATCAATTTTTCTGTTAGAAGGAAAATTCCATATTAATTGTATTAAAGGTATATATATGTGCTCTTTAGAGTGTCAAACTCTAAACAGCAGGGGTGTCAAACTCGCGGCCCGAGGGCCGGATGCATCATAGGTTGGCCATGCCCACCCATGGTTTAGCTAAGAGGAGAAAAGTCGCAATACATCATGTGATGACAACATGACGTCGTGAGTTTGACACCCATGCAATAGAGTCACAACCTTGGCCTCAGAGAATGATTAGGGATTTTGCATCTATAAGTCTTTAGAAAAGCCTCTTTCCTTATGAGCAGACATGGTCTTAAAGCTGCACCTGTTTCTCAGTCTTCTTGGCTTCATGACCCATAAAAACAAAGAACTGAGTTACTTATCCTTCCATCAAGCAAAAATGGAAATAACAGAGAACCCCTTCATAAGAGATAAAAATGCAATCGGGTCCTTTGCAAAAGAAAAAGTGCAACAAATTGTTTGGGGGAAAAAAGAGAAGGCCTAACATTGTGCTATTTAGCAAGCATTGCAATCCAAGGCCCAGCTCCATTACCTGTTAATGGCGGATCTCCCTCTCCCTCTTCCTGTTTTACATTTTTCTCCTCTTCTGGGACATCACCCTCTTCTGACTTCTCTGATCCAGTAGGCACTTCCTCAACAGATCCTGCAAAGGATACTTTCTGCCCACCTAAAGAGACCAGACTTCATTGTCACAAAAAGAAAGAAAGAAAGAAAGAAAAAAGCTCCTGCTCCTTCAGAAACCTCAGGGTTACACTCAATTCATATTTGCACTCCATTATGATCCAATCCTAGAGTTAAACCATCTGCTTTCTGTTTGAAAGTTTTATGTAAGCACATAAAACTTTTATTCAAATTCCACAAAAGCAACATACATAATTTTAAAAACTCAAAGACCTTTTGTCTATATTTGGGGGTGTTTATATTAGTCCCTCACTGTAGGTATTTAATCTAATCTACATATAAGGTCTGTATTATTCTCATCTTCACACAGGTAGTCCTCATTTGTCTACCATTCACAGTTACAATGGTGAAGGAAAAGTAGCTTTGTGATCAATCCTTGCATTTACGGCTTTTGCAGGTATTTAATACAAGGAAAGTGAACTAAAATTGAAAAATTATGATGTTTAACTTAGCAATTACTTTAAGGACCAACGTGCTGATCCCAATTGAAGTTGCTAAATGAAGACTACCTGTAATTGATTCAGAAATTGCTGACTGCTGATAAGCTCTTGTTGTTATACTGCTTCAAAAGGTAGCAGAAATAGGGGAGGATTTCAAGGTGAGACAGAAGGCATACAGTGACCTGGGTTGTGCTCCACTGATATTTTCAAAATCAGCAAATCCTAGCACAGATGTAAAAAGCATTGTGGCTAATGCAAACGAATTGTTGTTCTGGCAGGTCTCCTTACTCACATGCATTCACAACACACACAAACATATTTAAATTCATGAAGTAGCGCTTCACACAACACAGTCTCAGCAGGTCTCCCTTTTCCACCTGTATTTTCTGCAGCCATCTTTCCTTGGGGATGCAGTTTCCATCTGGGAACCCTCAGTAATGTGCTGAATAATTTGTTCTTTGTTAAGTTACTGATTAAAGTGGGAACATGGAAATCTTGTGATAATGGGATTTACACAACAGATTGTCACCAACAAAAGTGAGAGTAAAACTGCCTGCATTATCCTTAATTTTTTTAATGTAAACTGCCAAAAGGAAAACATGTACAGAATGACAAGACTCAAAGAGATTCCTAAACTTGAGAGGAGGGGGAAGTATTGTTCTCATTCCCAACCATGAATATTCTCCATGTAGAATGTCTTGTCAATATGACAAATTCTTTTGATTTTATAATGAACAGAACTTTCAGACTTTATACAATAGTAGAACTGTCGCAAGCAGGAGCTTGCAAGAGCTCAGAGAAGCAGTTACTGACAGGCATTTCTGGCAAAATGATGTCCCTTGGGTCACAAAGAAGTGAATGAATGGCTGAACAGCTACTGCTACTTACATATCTCATTTGCTGTGCTGTGGGAGTTAACCTTTCTTTCTCAACAAGGCTTTGATTCTGATCATTGCAGTTCTGACCTTATGTGGATAGGAATTCAGGCTTGTTCTCCGATCCTGTTTTCTAATTTGTCTCTGTCTGATGTAATTGCTATTTAGTGCCAATGGGAATGTTTTTATTTTTGTAATTTTGCCAATTACAGAATAAAGGATTCTGGGAATATTTAGACAGAATTGTGGTGGAGCAGAAAAGTTAGAGCTCTTTTTAAAAACATGCTGTAGACTTTAATTATTTAATGTCTATAATTAAATATTTTATACCATAATTTAATTTTTATTTTGATCATGAAATCTTTTTACTTTGCTTGATGCTGGAGGAAATACATTTTAGCTTGGTGTAGTTATACCCAAAATATTGTTCCTCAGAGATTATCCTCTAATCTTTGTGAAGTTCAATCTCTGCTTCTCTTTGTGTGTCTTATGCATTTTCTCTAGCACAAAATGCATGTGGACAAACACTTAAGCACCATGCAGTTCTCAGGCTTCCCAGCCTGATGCTTTGCAATGGAATGGATCACAACAATTACTCAATTCCATGCAAATATGACTTTTACAACAAATTGGAGGGCCTATTGTCTGCCATTTGATAGACTGAAGCTGCTGAATTCTGTTGAAATGGTTGTCTTTAATAAAAATAATCTTGTTTCTTGGCTGGGGGACAGGAATACATGGAGCAAACAGCAAACTACCAAAAGCCCTCACCAATATAAGGTATAATAGTGAAGGGAGTGGTGATTGTGATCCATAGCATGGAACTACAGTATCATGAGCATCTCCCAATTTTTATGTATAAACTATTGGAGAATAAGCAATTGCTCTATTTGGTGCATTGCTTTCTGTGACATTAATCAAAACACCAGCTGCACTTGCCGACAGTTAAGCCATAAAATGCATTTCAGTGAACCTTATTGCAGTTCAATTGACTCAAATGTTCTCTCTGCAAAAGCCAGAGAATTTGATGGATAATGGCATGGGGACTTGAAGGATTACAGGATTGCTGCACTGATATTATATTATACCAATGAAGGATGGAGAACCAGTTTGGTGTAATGATTAAAGGCATCAGGCTAGAAACCAGGAACTACTCCTGCCTTAGGCACAAAGACAGCTGACCTCTCCCTCAGCCCTGGGAAGAAAGCAATGGCAAATCCGTTCCAAATCATACCAAGGAATCTGAATTTGTCCAGGCAGTCACCAGGAGCCAAGGGACACACACACACACACACACACACACACACACAGTCACAATATTTGTCCATCTACATATTATTTCCCACACATGTACATAAAGAGATTACATGCATTGGCCTGTCATATAAATAATACAAACTACAAATCGGTGCCATCCAAATGTGTTGGTTTCTGAGGAGATTATGAGAATCAGTCCAATTCACCTGGGGGGGGCCCAGGCTAATGCGTAACTTATAAGATGAATGGAAAGGTTAATTTATAACTTACAAGATGCATGTTGTAAGAATCCAACACCCAGATAGTTCACATTCTGCAGTGCAGAAGTTGAATTCTATGATCTATATAAATTATGCAAATTAAGCAATGCTAGAGTTATTTTCTTTGCATAATATTACATTTGTCGGTCGTCATATGGAAGCAGTAAGGAATATGGTGGAATCACAGAATCATCATATGTTCAAGTAGTAAACTCAGGTATGACATAGTTTTTTTTAAAAAAAGTCCAACTGTTCAGTTTTGACACTTTAAAATAGAAATAGATTTGCTCAAAAAACATGTATTAGACTGTGGACTGTGATAAGATTATATACTAAACATACTGTATATACTCACAGAGAAGTCTACAATTATAGGTGCCAAAATACACCCAAAAGATTGGATTGAGTTTATGTACGAGTATACATAATAATTCTGGTACTTAATGTCCCATATATACTTGGCTGTAAGTCATTCATAGATAAGTCAGCCCTTGAATTTTTCACCAAAATACCATAAAATATGGACAAATGGCATATAAATCAATTGTGAACATTAAAACATACCAACATTTTGAGAGTTTGACTTATCTGTGGGTAATACATTTTTCATGGTATTTTAATAAAAAAAAATATGAAAGTCAACTTATCTATGGATGGGCTTACATGTAATACATGGTAAATCATATGTAGCACAATATGTGAAACCAGTGTTATGCATACTGTTCTACAGTCATAATTACTCTAAATAATTATTAGAATTATTCTAAAATTTTGCTTTCAGCAGACAAAAAAAAATAAGTTTCTGCCTTAGGGGTAAAACTTTAATTTTTTGTAGCTGAGGATGCATTTGTTAAATTTAGGTTCTCAGGTCCAGCAGACTTAGTAGATCAACATGTAAGCTCTACCCTGGGATGTTTGTAGGGATGGCTGCTCATGGAAGCTGTTATGACAAGTCTTGTTTGCCCTCCAATGATCCTATTCATTTAGCCCTACTGGTATTCTGGCTAATATTTTTCAGAGGATGCTTTCATAACTGTAGAAATTAAGTCTTTAGTTGAGGGGAGTTGAGCCACAGAATGGAGAAATTCTTTCTGATTTCTGCAATCACATATTTGCTTGGAGCCCACATTGGAATCTTCTTCAGCCGAGGAAAATATTTTGATGGGAAGTACATACTTGCAAGATATATTTCTGGATGTGGTTTTCCCCATTTCCTTTAGATAACCATGTTAGCATAAGTGTTTGGATTCTTCTCAAAGAACAATATTCTTTGTATATTTTATATACAATATTTTATATTGTCATCACCATTAACTCCAGTATTAGGCCCTATAGCATTAGGAGTTCTATCTTAAATTTATTGTCTACTAAGAGAGTCTCTCAAGTCATCTCTCACTATGCTGATGACTCTTTTGCTTGTTAAGACCTTTTATTACATTGCTGAGATCTGCATGATTATCACTAATCCTGCATGATTATCACCAATCACCATTTTCAGACCAACCTTCCTTTTATCATCCGATGACCTGATAAAGACAACCAGATTAGTTAGCTACCTTATATGTTATTTTCTTTCTGGATTTTGAACCGTCAGCATATCCTTTCAACTTTCTCTTTGAGAATATTACATTCTGCACGAGACAGTTTCTACAATTTTGAGAGATGTTGAATTTCATAAAGTGAATTCATCAATAAATTTATAGAAGCTATGCAGTTACATCTCTGCTTTTTCTACATGCTCTCATACTTAGGAGTTTGTAGCAATAGAGATTATATTAGCTACTGACCATTAGGAGGCACTACACAACAAGGTTTTTTTCCCCTTATTAGGACAATTCAGGCACTGTAGAGAATACAGTGTACTAATAAGGTGAAAAGTACTAATAAAGTGAAAAAAGGTTGTGTAATGTCTCCCACTGGTTAGCAGTCAACATACTATCTAAATAACCCTATATATTATTCCAGTTTATCCACTTACGTAATAATAATCATTATATTCCACTTTTCCTTCAGTTTGTAAGAAAAAAAACATATGGCAGCTTTCGGATGATGTATCACCAACCTTGAAAAAGCAAGAAAATTTCTATTCGTTCCAAATGGGGAAGGGGGAATTGCCAGTTTTATTTTCAACAAGTTCTGCAGTTGTGGATATGACAAAGAACAGATCTAAGACTAAACCACACTTTGTCACAGTAGATGAGGAAGAAAGAAAACTGAATCTATCCACATTTTCTGTGTGATAAATGTACTTCTTTATATTCTCATCTACCTTAAGAAAAATGAAAGACCAGTTTTTCTTCTCATACTCGTAAGTATTTCTTTAAGTAGATCATTTTGCCTTAATTCCAATTTGTGTCACAGGAAGTTAGGTCACATACAGAAGATCTCCCTTTTGAAGACAAAGGTTGCTTTCGTTTACAAACAGATGACACCCACACACGTTGAGAGAAGATGAATATAATTAAGTAAGAGTGGTTGTTTATAATTAATCTATAGGTTACATTTACTAGGCAATTGATTGATATAGTTTCATCCCATTATGTCTATCAAACTCACTTCTACAAAATGCTTCTGCTTTTCAGGCACGATGCGAACCAGTAGTAAAGGTAAGTAGAACCCATCCCTGTATCAAGACTTGCACAGACATCAGACTTTAATATTTGGGAATAAGACTAAATATTCCATTTTGACCTGTCATCAAATAATACATGGTTTATGAACTTTTTTTTTTTTACAGGAGATGATGGGTATTCTGGTTGTGATCCAAATAATTTTGCATTTGGATGGAGCCAATTATCCAATTTCACGTTTCTGATCTCTGTGTGGATCTTATTAATAGTTTTTTTTTACAATTATATCCTTATGTTCCAAGGAATACCTTTCTATACAGGTAAATGTGGCAATTATCATATAGATTTTTACTCATTAGTTTTGCATCCTCATGTAAAATACTTTCTCAGGATTTTCCAATTAAACTGCCTCATTAGGAGAGCTGAACCCACACAGAGGCTAACTTATATTCGTCCTGATTTGATCCATAAATATTCAAATCTTTAGCTATGACTGACTTACCTTTCATATTTAAGTTGTCTTCTTGGGGCTGGCCTCTGATCATCCACAGAGACAATTATGGCCTGATACATTATATCTTCCCAGGATTGATTCTGATTTCTATTGTATTCAGCCATAATTTTCTGCCCTTTTACTATCTGCTGTTCTACACTGTTACAATATTCTTTATATTCCACATCTTGGTACAATGTTGACTTTGTATTTTGGATCACTGTACCTCCATCCAAGAGTCTAGGATTGTTAAGTTTGGTCCATAGAACACGTGACAGAAGAGATGCGTCTGATTGGTTGTCCTACTAGCAACCACCCGGCGGGAGAAAGATGTTGCCTGATTGGCTAAGCTATCTGACAGCTCGTATATAAAGAGCTGTCAGAATGGGGAAGCCACTCGCTCACTCTTGCTGTTAGCCTAAGAGGGGGTCACTGTAGCTCATTATTGTTAGACAATAAATGGTTTGTTGAACCGTTGCCCTGCCTCGCCTCAATCCTTACTCGCCTTGTTCAAAGAACCGAACACTGGCAACGAAGGTGGGATTTAATGGTTGAGGCAGCAGGTCAAGCGAAGTCACTAACAAAAGAGCTGTCAGTCTTTATGAGCTGAGCCACAGCAACGATATGTCGCACTACGAAAATTACCTCAGACATCTGTCCTCACTGAAATGGCCACCCTAACCACATTCGCACCTTTCAATCAAGCGATGGAAACATGGGACTCGTTCTTAGACCGTTTTGACTGCTTCTTAGCCACAAATGACTACAAAAGGCTCCCCGGGGATAGAAAGCTAGCCTTCTTCCTAAGTGTCTGCAGACACGAGATGTTCGAGACTGCCAGAGCCCTTCTCACCCTGCAAAAGGTCCATGATGTGCTGTGGGAGACCCTATTAGCCAGGTTGAAGCGGCATTATGCCCCCTTGCCTTTGAGAATCACTAGACACCAGTGGTGAAATCTAAAATTTGTTACTACTGGTTCTGTGGGCGGGGCTTGGTGGTGGGGGTAATGTGACTGGGTGGGCGTGGCCATTTTTTAAAAAACCATTTTTTCTACATCCTCTTCGGTGAAGAGGTTGTAAAAAATGCTTTCAAAAGGCTCTGACAATCCCAGCTGAGTTGCCTGATTGTCAGAGGGTTTTTTAAAAAATCCTCTGCCGACCAGGCAACCTAGCTGGGATTGTCAGAGGCATTTAAAAGAAAAAAAACTTTTAAAAGAAAAAAAAACAACAGCTGGGATTGTCAGAGCTTGGATCGTCAGAGTCATTTAAAAGAAAAAAACCCTCTGATGATTGCGCGGCTCAGCTGGGCATGGGGGGGCAGGGATTTTTGCTACCGGTTCTCTGAACCACCCGCCTCCATCACTACCAGATCGGGTGATCCGATCCGAACTGGGAGCATTTCACCCCTGCTAGACGCCATGTATTTTGTCACAGAAACCATGAACCCAGGTCGATTTGCAGAGGGACACTTGTCCCCAGCCAATTGGCTATGAGAGAGAATTAGCCAAGCGTCCTGGCAGCCAATCCACATGCCAAGGAATGGGACTTTGTCTTCCCATTAGATGTGGTGGTGCTGGGTGGGGCAGGCAGTGCCCTCAGGCACTGGGGAGGTGGGGGTCATGGTAGTTGCTGTGCAGATCAACCAGGCTGCTCCTCTCCACCAGGCTAGCCTTCCTGGGAGCAGCATAGCACCCTGCCATCCCCAAAATGGAAGGTCTGAGTTCCACCCAATGGCTTCTGCCACTGCCATCACCTGTTGCATTCTGCCTAGCTCTGCTCTGCACCCAGCTCCTCTGGGATACTCAAGTCTTCCTTTTGGAGATGGGAGGGGCACTATGCTGCTCCTGGGAAGGCACTGGCAGAGAGGAATGGTCTGGTTGCCCCACACAGTACCCCCATGTCCCTCCGTCCCTGGCGCCCAAGTCTACTGCTTACCCCACCTGGCACCATCACATCCAATGACAATATAGAGGCCCACCTCTTGGTGCATGGATTAGCTGCCAGGATGAGTGTCTAATTGTCCCTCACAGCCAAGTGGTTGGGGACAAGTGGGGGATCAGTAGTGGGGACAACCCCACTGGAGGGCCAGCCTAAGATGAATGATTGTGGTGGATTGGCAGCAGTGGGGTGGGGGCGGGCTGGAGTGAAGCGGGAATGGCCAGGCAGCCTTGGCCAATTGTCCCATTCTGCCATCCAACAACTCTATGTTTGCTGTCAAGATTGGAAGAAATTTCTATTCAATTTCTGGGAAAAACGTTGTCTGCTAACAGTCAGCTCTGTCCCTAGTCCATGTACTGTCATTAAGACTTCTGGAACTTGGTTGAATCCTTGACCTTCATCCAGAACTGCAGTTCTTTCAATGGTCACATGAGTATTTACATAAACCACTCAGTACCCCCTCTATAAGTACTTCTGGAGCTCTGTTTTTCTGAAAGGCTACTAAGGCTGTCTTAGAGAACTACCGGTAGTATGAATGATACTCAGAAACAAGTGTTCAAGTGTGATTTCTCCCAAAAGTTATCTGTAGTGCTAGAAGAATCCAACATATTTTTGTATGGGCATATCACCAATTTTTGTAAATGAACAGAAAACCATTTGAAAAACCAATACTGTAATATATAAAAATATATCCCTGGGCCGTGAGAAAGAAAAGCAAAAAGAAAGCACTTTATTGAAGGACTTTATCAGTCTTTGCCCACATGAAACTTCTTTCAGAAGTACGGTATTTTACCATAACTCCCAGTATTCCCAACCTGCATGGCCAATTGCCACTCTAGGTAAGAATTCTGGTGGAATACTAGTGTACACAGGGAGTCTTTAGATTGCTCTACCAAATGATGAAAGTATTTGATTCATGGGGACAGGAAGCTTTGGGTGAGAAAAGTCTTCTGCTCTGCAGAATCTCCAAACTTGTTACATAGCAACTACTGAATTTGAGGTCTGGCAGCCACTCCGTATTATAAGCTTTTACTGCTAAGTTCACTTATTGCACTGTTTTAACCATCAAATAAACAAAATCACACTTATGGAGTAATATAATGTACAACTTCAAATCCCAGAATTCCCCAGTACATCTAACTTAAAAGTCCTGAACTTGAGAAACACTGGCTTATATTTACCACAATAGAAGGGGAAGTTAAAGTTATCACCTGGACCACCAAAATGTTTATGCTTATCACAAGTTCCATCTTGCTCTCTTAGAACATTTACTATTGTGCTTTCAACTGTGAAGGCAAGAGTTGAAAATGGACAGCAATTAAAAGCATTGGAACATATTGCCTATAAAGGAGACTGCTAATTTTCTGTAAATTTTTATTATCTTTCGAAGACATGTGAAAACTTTTTAGCTATGGAAGAGAGAGAGAAAAAGAGAAAGAGAGAGAATGAGAATGACCATGATCAAACTCATACCTTTGATTACGTCCTCCAGCAATAAATCCCTCTTTATATTGTAACACCCACATTTACCTTTCCGTTTCTGGGATTTGGAGAGAGATGGGCAGACTGGATGCTCAGATTCCTTGGGCTTATTTTCCAAGACTTTGTGGGGGGTGATGACAATAATTAGGAAGGAAAGAAGGAAGGAAGGAAGGAAGGAAGGAAGGAAGGAAGGAAGGAAGGAAGGAGAAATAAATTATCCCTCAGAAGATAAAGCAGCAGTTTTCTCACACTTTGTGCCAGACAATTTCTTTCCGTCTTCCCTTATGTTTGGCCTGCAATCTTTTCTAGAGCAATTGTTTTGCACTGCTTCTCTGTCTACAAATGAATCCACTTATCTACAGTACTTTTAATAGTAACTCTGAGCAGACTTCCAGAATAGTCTTGAATTTGTCTGCGAATGGCAGCAGAATATTCTTTTCTACCTGCTGGAATAATTTCCTAAATCTTCACACAGAATACATCCCTCTTGCCTGATGAAATTATTAATTCTCTTGGTAAATATTTCATCCAGAATTAGCTCCTGAATTCTTCTGGAATTCCTTGGCTAAGGAAGTCCACATTTCTGAAGGACATTCAAGTTGGACTTTATATAGTTTATTACAGAAAAATGAGAAAAAGCAGTCCTACTTGCAAATACTTCATCTGCATTACTTCAAGATAAATATGGGAGAGCTATCCTTTGTTGCTCTTCAATGTTACTGCTGATTAATTTAATCATGCAATCAAAAAACACACCAGTATGTCATGACTTCTGGCATGAAGAAATGCTGGTTTATCTTACCAGTGCACTGTCTTAGCAGTCTTCCCTTGGAAGCTGGTCCCTGCCCCTGGGATTCTGTAACAGACAATAAAGAAATATGAACCAGAAATACATTGTTGGTGCCTTATGGGGGGTGGAAGTGTAGACTTTTATTACAACTCTAAGATTTCCTTTGTTTTTAAGAAAACAAATTTCCAACACTGATGATTGCTCAGCCTGAGAGTCCATGGGTTTTCACTCACTTTCGTTACATTTGCATAACCCCTGGCGCCATTCCCACACCACACTGGAGAAGTGCAACCCCTATTTTTTCTGCTGATTAAAAACAGCATTATGCAGCTAGATTTCATGAGAATCTGAAATCCACAAAGTCTGTTTTAGAGCACCAGGCAACCAGTGTAAGTTTCAAACCTTTGCTCTGGAATAGCTAGAAAAAGCAAATATGTGGACAGCGGGCCTGGGGGTGGAAAAAAGAAAATGTCTTCTATAGATTCCACTTCTCCCATCTTGCAGCTCCTTCCTGCTGAGGAGAAAGCTGGTTTCCTAGGAGACTGGCAGCTCCCTGTAGCCACGATAGGAAGGTACGTGTATGTGTGTGCTGCGAGGGGGAGACAGTTACAGATTTCTCTCTGACAAAGGTGCTAAATGAAGGGAAATATATTCAGTACATACAGTATGCCCCTAGTGAGTGGGATCCATAGGTAACAGCAGGAAAAAAGCCCTTTAAATAGAAATGTGTCACTACAGTAACAGCCCACCTGCCTAAAACTGCTTGACCTCAGGAATCAACCCTCCTCTCTCTCTATTCATCACAATACCCTTTGAGGTATCATCCCAGGTTCAAGCAAACACCCCTTTTTAATTTATTGCAAGTGATCGTCTGATCTGGTTAAGGTTTGAAAGCAAGAACTAAAAACTCACACACAAAGACAGGGATTTATTCATTTTTCAACAAGGAAAAATTCAGAATTCGATGCAACTATTACGGTTACATGAAATAATTTCAGCTGTAGCCTAGGAAACTAGGCAGTTATTGTATTACTTGGGCTTCTAAGGCCTCCCACTTGAATGCTTCTTGGAGTATTTGTTTAAAACAAGATACTAGAACTTTTCTCTGTATCAAAGAAAAAGCCAATGCAATTCCCAAAAATGCCTTTGGATATTCTGATTGTGAAATCCAATAATGTAATCCCAAACCAGCCCTCTCTGCTCGTCAGTCTCCAGATGTAGCTCCCATAATGCCCAGAAAACATAGCATATCAGCTGAGAATTCTGGGATTTAAGGTATTTTGAAAGTCATTTAGGAATACTGTCATATAACCAAAGAAACCTGCTCTCTTTCCCTTCCTGACAGAAACCAGGCAGGCAAATATGCTAAGCAGTCCAGTGTTTCTCAACCTCAGCAACTTTAAGATGTGTGGACTTCAACTCCCAAAATTCCCCAGCCAGTACATGAATTCTGAGAGTTGAAGTCCACACATCTTAAAGTTGCTGAAGTTGAGAAACACTGCTGTAGAGTGTCATGGAGGCAGAGAGGCTACATAAGGAGCAATAAATTATTCCTATCATGTTAATCAAACCGGGTAAGCAAGCACAGTCAGATAAGAAGTCAATAGTGGTACCTGACTGATTAATAATAAACTTATAAGAACAATTTTTGAATAGGAAGCATTTTCAAAATGTGCCTCTCTGCACTGCAAAACTCAGCCTGATAATTCTGATTTTCCCATTGGTTTGCTGGTCTCTTCTTTCCAAATCAGTCTTTGTCTGGCTTACCTCCTGGTTTATACAAGCCAGTCATCTCCCTCACAGTGTCATCTGAATCCTGAGCTTCTTCTTCCTCCTCCTCCTCTTCCTCTTCTTCCTCTTCCTCAACATCTTCAGCATAGTCTTCATCCATCCAGGAACTGTTGGATTCCATATGGCTTTGTGCGAGGCGTTGCACAGCTGTTATTAAAGGAAAAAAAAAGATGACAAACCAGAAATATAAGAGAAATGGAAAGGCAGAGGTACTCAGTTTGCTTTTAGAGTTGTAAACATTTTTTTAAAGAGATGCTTTTTTAAAAAGATCTAACGGCATAAATAACATCAACAAACAAAAAAGCCAACTCATCCTTAAAGCAATGTTGTATGATGTTTATGAAAATCAAAAATCTTTAGGCAAATTTCAGCTAGCCTAAACTGCACCAGCACTATATTTGTCTTCCTCCCCCACCTCACTCCTCCCAAGAAAGGTTTTGTGGTGAAAACAATCTGATATACTTCACTGACATTGTGTCCTTTGTACAATCAGATTGGTGGGATCAGCCTGGCATCTGCTGGCCACTTTAAGCTGGTGCAGGTATGCCCCTACCTCTCTGATGCCTGGGCACTCTCTTCCAGGACTATTCGAAACTGGGCAATGAGAAAATTCATTTCTTTTTTTCAAACTGTACCCTGGCCCCTCTGTTCTTCAGATCTCCAAATTGATTCTTGACTCAGAAATGGGAAAGAGCCAAACAGCAGCTGAGCAATGGTAGTATATACTGAAGCAGAGAGACACAAAGTTGGTTCATTCTCTGCTGCTTCATGGTACAACCTTCCCTGATTCTATATGCTTTTTGTTCAGGCTGTTTTGGGGTTGGGGTTAGAATAGTTATAATATTTCTAACCACTGATAACAACTAACAGTGAGGTTCCTGTTAAAGCTCTTCAGATGCCTGCCATAATTTTCTTAATTTTAGCACACTCACAGGGAATCTAGGGCATCAGATGTCTCTATGAACATCCTTTACAATAGTCATAGCAAACTAAAATAGAGCAGCTTCTACCAAGCCACATACAAGTTTTTATATAAACACATAACGCAGAGTTAAATCTTGGATTTCTTTATGATAGTCTAAGAAAAAGGGACTTTTCTTAAGTTTGGCTATTATGTCCATCTGCACAGTGTTTTCATAACAGATTTTTCTGCTTCCAATCTTCCCTCTTCCCATCTTGCTAACTTCAACCCTGACAGCTTCTTCTGAACACACCCGCACAAAATATTTGTGCAAAACCAGAGCGAGTTTTGGCAGATGGTTCAACACACTAGTCTAGCCATCTGTTAAAATCCACTTTCTCTCCAAACTCAGCTATGCCCAACATTAAAGAGGGTGATTGGTAGATGTATTTCTGCCAGCTGGTGATGTTTGGTGGGAAGCAAGGCAAACAAAGCTGGGGGAATCCACCTGCCCTACACTTAACTTGCCCTGTTGTGCTGAAACTAAGAGCAACAGCATTTACTTCTGTAAATTCCTGTGGCAGAATATTTGCATTATAATTGATTTTTGTTATTTCAAATACAAATGGAAGGCTCTTTTGCTGTGAGGAAGAGCTCTGAGTTCAAATTTCAACCCAGAAATTGAGCCACACTGGGGAATTATGTCTCAATTGCCCTAACCCATTTTTAGAGTGCTGTTTTGTGAATAAAAAAGGAGAGGACAAACATACAACTTGAACTCCTAGAGGAAAGATGGGATATGCATATAATTTTAGAACATTAAATAACAATTTGAAATGAGTTTCATCTCTTCTGTGCCAGTTCTTTGCTAACAAGGTTGAAAAACTAAAGGCTAATAATCCTGAAGTCAATATTTGGGGGGAAAAACACCTCATTGCATAAAAACCTGGGTCATTCTTTCCCTGAGAATTGCAACCTATCCTGATGATTTTTAAGCGGGTGCCAATGTATCCAGAACACCCACCATTACTACTACACTGGCAATCTTACAGCCTGAACTCAGGATTTGCAATGTCCAATTTGCCACAACTGCAATATCAAAGAGGTCTAATACCTTTGGTCGATCTACATAGTTCTCAAAATTTCACTGTTAGTATTCCAGCAGAATTTTAAAACAAAAACATACAATTCTTCCAAAGTTTGCAATAAGAGTTGCAATGTATTTATTGCAGTACATTAAACTAATAGCCTATATATTGTATAAAATCACTGAAAGAATATAAATACCCTTGACTAGAAGCAGAGGGAGGGAGAATCTTCTGCCAGTTTGAACCATAGCAAGAAGAACAAGAAATCCAATGATGGACAAGACTCATTTACAAATCCATTTGCTAAGAACTCCTCTACTTTATATTCGTAGGACTAAATCCTGAGCTACTTTGCTTGCTTTGATGGATCTGATTTGACAGCCTTCAGGAAACAGTGAAAGCATCCAGAGTAACAGCTCATTTTATCTTCTGGTTTTGACTGAACAATCTTATTGATGTATTAAGTGTGAAAAGAATTTCTTTGTATGCTTAAATCTGTTTCAATGTTGGTCACGAGCAACTTGAAATACAGGTACACGAAGAAGAAGAAGCAGCAAAATGGGACAGAAAATGAACCAGTTAATAATTAAGGACTCAAATGAGATATTAGCAGTCTTTGCTTGATTAGTGCCTGAGGACATTCCCTCCAGATTTGCCCTCTGTCATCCACATCCAATTGCTTTCTTTGACAAGGCATTCCAGTAAGGCCATTATTTACAGAGAAAACTTCCAGATCTTGCAGCTCAAACTTTATCTTGGCTCCTTACCTTGCCCTTTTGATCTAAACACCAGGGCATTTTTTTCTCAATTCATTTTAACTTGCTTGAATGATCACATAAGATCCAAAAATGATTAGTGATACATCCAGTGACCATATATCCTTTATTATACAGGACTTTTTGTTTTTCAAAAACTCACTTTTTTATTTTAGTCATCTAAATTTCACCATACAAATGGTTCAATTTTTAATGCATCGTCTTTCACGTTCATGTGGAAAATATGGAAATTGAATTGTCTTTTTAAAATAAATTTACACATTCTGTTGGGTTTTACATATTCTTAGAATATGCATGTAAAGTTTTTCTTGGTTTTGTTCCTGAATTTTTCTTTGTAAAGCAAAGTTATAAACAATTTTTTATCCTTATAAATCTCTTTTAAGTTTGTCCTTTATTTTTCTGAGAAAATATGTTCAGTATAATTATAAGCTTGTCCAGAGAATGAGAGCATGTTCTGACATGACTTTGACTTGACAGGTGTAAATCCCCCTACATTTGTAACCCTTTCCCCACTTCTATTTTGCTTAGGGGTGACAATTCTCCATTTGAGAATTTTAGCAAAAAAGGACAAAATAAGACATAGATTTGCATAAAATAGGCATATGATAGTTTTTACAATGATGTCCATTTAAAAATTATTCCTAAATAGGTAGTCCTCGCTTAAAAACTGCAATTGAGATCTGCAATTCTGTCACTACATGATGTGGTCATTAAGTGAAACATGACATGACTATGCCAGTGGCAATTCTCCTGTGGTCATTTAGTGAATTACTGTAGGTTGTTAAATGTGGCATTACTTGACCAGAACTTTCCCCATTGACTTTGCTCGTTGGAAGCTTGCAAATGGCAATCATGTCACTATGGGTTGCTGCAACTGTTTTAAATAGATGCCAGTTGCAAAGCTACCAAATGGTGAGGACGCTGTGACAGCCACAACTTTGAGGACCGGTCATAAACCTACTTTCAGCACATGTCATAATTTTGAACAGTCACTGAGTGCAGCAGTCTGTAAGCAAGAATTATCTGTAGTTTAAATACAGATACAGTTTGAATCCTAGACTTAAACCCTGTTTCTTTTGCAGGGGAAAACTATTTCCCCCGTAGATCAGTGGTGAAATTCAGCTGGTTCTATCCAACTTGGGTGAACCAGTAGCGCTGGCGGCAGACGGCTCCGCCCACCCGCCCAGACATCATCACGTCCCGTTTTTGACCCTTTGCGCATGTGCAGAAGGCTCTGCACACGTGTGGAGGAGGCGCGCAAGCTCACATTTGCGAACCGGTAGCAAAGGTAAGTGAATTTCACCCCTGCCCTAGATCCCTATCAAAAGTGCACATCCACAACTTTTCCTTCCCTTAAACGTTGCACAATATTGTCATCCAATAATCTTAGATATTATAGTTACTAGTATGGTTATTTTTCTCTATCTGATTCATCATTTTAAGTAATTAGAATACCCTCTAAACTTTCATGACACTGTAACTCTGATCAACAAGATTTAAAACTTACCATAAGAATTTTCATTTGCAGAAGCTCTACAGGAAACCAAATTAAATGTATACCTCCCAGTAATAACACAAGATTTGGCAGACAAAATCTCAGTTGACAGGATGAAAGATGCATGAACAAAGGTTTATTGAAAAACAAGAGATTAGCGGCTTTAGAAAATAAAGTGCTCAAGGTAGGGCAGGAATTTTCTCATACTGCCACACAACGGAGATCTACTGAAGAGTTTGCACAAATACTTTCCTTGTCCAGCAAACTTGGCAAGAATCTAGTCCTCAGTGAGAAGTGGGTTTGAAGAAGAATTGCAAGGCAGAAAGACAAGGTCTTTTGTTATAAGAAGTTTTGGGGAATGGGGAGGCAACCAGGGTCAATTGGCCCCCACGGAGAGGGTTCACAACTTAGGCGTTCTCTTGGACTCACGTCTGTCTTTAGAAGAACACTTGACGGCTGTGGCCGGGAGGTCTTTTTATCAGGTTCGCCTGATTCGCCAGTTGCGTCCCTTTCTGGATCGGGACTCGTTAAATACAGTCACTCATGCCCTCGTCACTTCACGCCTGGACTACTGTAATGCTCTCTACATGGGGCTCCCCTTGAGGAGCACCCGGAGGCTCCAGCTGGTCCAGAATGCGGCCGCGCGGGTAGTTATGGGAGCAGCATGGCGCTCCCATGTGGCTCCCCTCCTGCGCGAGCTGCACTGGCTCCCTGTGGTCTTCCGGGTGCGCTTCAAGGTCTTAGTTACCACCTTTAGAGCGCTCCATGGCTTAGGACCGGGGTACTTATGAGACCGCCTTCTGCCACCAATAGCCTCTCACCGCCCAGTATGCTCCCATAGAGATGGGCTTCTCAGGGTGCCGTCAGCCAAACAGTGTTGACTGGCG